TGCACTGATTACACACACACAGCTGAATCCAATCAGACATGCTACATAAGCCATGGACTTCCTCTCTCTCACTGCCGAGTATTGTAAACGCATATCGCTACCCTAGTCGATAGCTACTTTACAGAGCCAGTTCCCGGTCCTAGTTTGAGTTTCTAGTTGTCTAAGTCTAGTCACGTCTAGTTTCCTGATTGCCTGTTTCCTGATTATCGCTTGTCCTGGATTACCCCTCTTGTCTCGCCCTGTTCGAATACTGTTTGCCCCTCACCTGAACCATAGCCTGTGTTTCAGATTAACCCTTTGGATTACCCTGTTTGGACATTGTTCGCCGGAGTTATATATATATATATATATATATATATAATTATTATTATCTTTTTTTTTTTCATTTTATGTTCAAATTGTTAAATACAATTTTAAAAGTTATTTTTAATTTAGGGTTAGAGTTAGGGTTTATGAGTATGATATCACAAAAAATAGGTCCCTGTAAGCTGTCTTACTTCCTGTAAGATATCAAGTCTCCCAAAATTGCCATTAGGGTGCTCTAAACACGGCAATTGGTATTCTATATACATTATATGAACATGAATGTACTTAGCCCTGTTCGAATACTGTTTGCCCCTCACCTGAACCATAGCCTGTGTTTCAGATTAACCCTTTGGATTACCCTGTTTGGACATTGGTCGGCGGAGATCGACCACGCCCACGCACTGGACTACTCTTGTGTCTTGCCCTCAATATACCTGTTTGCCATTGTCTGACCCTTGCCTGTTTTGACTATGTTCTAGAATAAAGCTTTGCATATGGATCCGCACGCCTCTCGTCTCGTCGGCTCCGTAACACAAAGTTTGCGCCGAATACTTATCTTATCATACTTTTTCATATTTTAGTACTTTAATTAATTCCAGCTATGTTCTTCACTTGAGCTGGTCTGTAGGAAAGGCAGGCTGAAAGAAGAGAATTGTCTATTTTAAGGCAGTTTTTTTTTTTTTTTTTTCCTATTTTTTGTGATATCATCCTCATAAACCCTAACTCTAACCCTAAATTAAAAATAACTTTTAAAATTGTATTTAACAATTTGAACATAAAATGAAAAAAAAAAAGATAATAATAATTATATATATATATATATATATATATATAATTATTATTATCTTTTTTTTTTTCATTTTATGTTCAAATTGTTAAATACAATTTTAAAAGTTATTTTTAATTTAGGGTTAGAGTTAGGGTTTATGAGTATGATATCACAAAAAATAGGTCCCTGTAAGCTGTCTTACTTCCTGTAAGATATCAAGTCTCCCAAAATTGCCATTAGGGTGCTCTAAACACGGCAATTGGTATTCTATATACATTATATGAACATGAATGTACTTACTTTGTGTATTATGTACATAATTTGTTTGGCCGTTGAGGGTCACATCACCTGACAGCGGTCCCCCCACTTTTAAAATGGCTGCTACGTCTCTGCCACAGAGCTCCCCTCCTCCCCACATAACATATGTCCTGTATGTATGTATTTATGAAGCTACTGACCAACTGGCCAGAATCTGTCTATAAGAATATATCAGAGAGACTCACACTGGGTTGCTGAAAACATTTGAAGAAACATTTCCAATCCGAATCTCTGCCCCGTTTATCCAGCTGTTACAGCAGTAGAGTCTGTTAGTGATGGTAACTCTGTTCACGCTGAACGTCTTCATCAGATCCAGCTTCCACCACGGGTTGGTTTGTGTCGTAGTGCAACTACATGTGTTGCTTTTCCCATCCAGAGCATTTTGGGCATACCAGTGGTCATGTAATGTCGACTGATCGGCTGTTCCCCATGTTGCTATGTTCACTGGAATAAGTTCAAGAGAAAACCTTATTTACAATTGCAATTATTTTTTACAAATATTTATAGTCCTGCCAGGCTATTTAAGTCCATGAGTTTTCATCATGTGTCTGAAAATGTTTCACAGCAGCACAAACTCACTAACAAAAGATGCAATAGTGTTTAATTCACAAAATCTCACCTTCTTTTACTGCCTTTGTTTGAACCGAGAAAAACCCTTGAAATGAGAAACACAGAATGATGCTTAGTATTTAGAACGTAAATTATTTTTTCTTATGATTATAACCCTGTATTTTGTTAGATTTATACTTTTAAAAAAATGCCAGTTGTTGCATGTTTAAGGGTATTTAGATAACATTAAAAAAAGAATAACACATTAAATTGTAATTGAGGGTCTTCTGTTAAGTGTTTCTCTGTCTGAAAGATGAAGCTGAAAGCAGATTTTAGATCACTAAGATATTAAACAGATTGTGTTTTACTTACCCAGTAAAAACGACAGACTCTTGTAGAAATCCCTCAAGTTCATTTCAGGTGGTTCGTGATTCTTTCTGCTTTCATTTGAGTAAGTTTGAATGAATGTTGTTCCTGAGAGAAACACATTAGTTTAACGTTACATCAGAGTCACATGATCCTGTCTCTCCTCCCACTTTTATCTCTGACTAGAGAGAAAATGTTTGGAAAAATGTTTACAGACACAAACACACAAAAATACAGTATTTTCCATCTTTTAGTAACAAAACAAGTGAACGCATTTTCACTGAAAATAATGATAACTTGCAAATTCAGTTTAGTGATTAATGATATCAAAATATCAATGCTATTGAAATTGTGGCGGACACTTTTATCTGAAGCAAGTCAAAGGATGAAGTTCATGTTGACATGCTTACATTGAATGTTACATGTAAACAGCAATAGCAACATCCACCAAACTGTTTGTCAGCTGGCCTCTCCTGAGAGAAAACTGAGGGACAATCTTCCTGAACTACATTAAGGTTTGTATTCACTTTTGTATTCAAATTCAGTGCCACCACATTTTTACTTAAACTGTGTCGTTATTCCATGTCGTTCTAACTTGTATGACTTTCTTTCAGTGAAACACCAAGGATGAGGTTTTGAAGTGAATGAGAACTGAAGCTGTCAAGCTCCGAAATAACAAAAAATCATAACGGTGCAACAGAAGTGGTTCATATGAGAGTTTCTCAGTCTAGATCTGTCTTACTGCATGTTGTTGCACCTGCCATGTTTCAATTTGTCTTTTCTTTCCCATCTTATGGACATCTCAAGATCAACATACATTTGCATTTTGTTGTTTTATGCATGAAATCTGTCTGTCAAAACTACCTGAAAGCACACAAACACTGTCCTGCATATGTTCTGACATGAGGAGAAGATCTGTTTCTGATGATATTTAATCTTTAGTTGTTCATATAGCAATGTAGTAAATATTTGCCCCTCTTTGCCATTTGCCTCTACATCTACTGCTGTTCACTTCTTAGAATATTTTTCTTATTCACTGAGTTTTCTTCGAGTCATTTGCCTAGAAAGCCTGTTCCAAAAAATCATGAACGTGAATGTAAATGTAAATGTAAATGTTCTCAAATTGCTTACTCAGAAGAGCACGAGCATGTGAGGAAGCACACTATGATTGAATCTGTACTGGTATCTTGAGCTTCGAAAGCAACAGCTCATCATGTGTTTTACATTTTTCATTTTTAAGCTCCACCAATATTAATCTGCTACAATTCTTACTTGCTTATTTCTACAAATGTCTGCTCAGTGTTTTTCTTGCCCCTGATGCACTTGTTTGTGCAGTTCGTTTGACTAGGCGTACATTCTTTTGCCTATGTAAATAATGTGGATGTCATTTTTTTGTGGAAAGAAGCTAAGAAAATGACACTTGATAGAGATGAATGAAATGTGACATGCTGATGATCAAAAAGGACCAGTGAGTTTGCAATCAGACCAAAAACTATTCTTGGATGATAAACTTTTAAGTTGATCCACTGAAGCGTTGGAATCATTCACCCACAAAGGTTTTTACAGTGCAAGTACTTAAGTACTTTGTGTATTTTTAATACTGTTAGTGTTCAGAAGATAACATATTCAGATGTTTGACCAAAAATCAAAACAAGAATAATATAGGATATTTAAAATTGAATATTTAAGCCTTAAGTATAGCTCTACCGATATGCAAATCTGAATGATCGTCCTATTCTCTTCAGTAGAGCATCTGTATTTTAAGTTGTTCTTTTTATAACGTTTACAAAACACTCATCAAAATATCAGAACACTGAAAAAAAAAAATGTCAAAGTTGAATTAAAAAATTATTGGAGTAAAAAAGAAAATACTATTACAATAATTCTACTTCAAAATTTCATGTTTAATTCAGTGTTACTTTATAATTAAATGTAAAATTGACTACCAATTTCTTAGTAAGAATTGTTTCTACACCATTTGTTTCTCCGTGAGGGATGGTAGAAAACAGATGGTTGCTTCTGCATCATTTCATTAATGCAAAGACAAAAAAAACAGTTTTAAAATATTTTTAATCCACTGCATCCCCTTTAAAGTGATTTGAATAGTAAGCGCTTTATCGGTCCACAATTTGTGACCCAACAGTACTAAAATGATTAATCATTTAAAAATAAACATGCTTGATCGATTTGTGGGTTTTGTTCATAGTTTTTGAGCATGAGAGAATGTCACAACCTGTCCATGTTGCGTCTAATTCCAAGTGTCATAAATGTTTCTTAAAAAAAACGTAGTGCTTGATTGCATGTGCAGCCTCTGACCAACAATATGGGAAGTGTTTCACTAATTTACTATCCTAACTATGCATGCTGTTTGCATTTAGCTTTGTTCTTTGCCACTTTAACCTTTAGTCCAAACACTGATCTACCAGTTTCATTTTTTACTTGAACATTTTATGCATATTTAAAAAAAAAAAAAGAAAGAAAAGAACATTTGACTTCATTTAAAACTTTATTTAAAACAATCAATAGTTTGAGGTATAAGTAAGAATAAATTAATACATTTAAAAACAATTATCTTAGATATTTTCAGCAACTTGATGGTGTCACACATGCACAATTAAATGAATAGACTGATTATAATTTTTATCAGCCCTCTCTGTGCAGGAGCTTGATTTTAAATAGCAGTACATTAGCAGAATACAAACACTAACGCTCGCAAAATACATTCATAAACACAATCTCTCTCACACAAACACACAGATTAAATAAATGATGTATTGCCCTCTTCCCTATATTTTCAGCTCCTTTCTTCATTGTTCCCAGAGTCGCTATATTGCACAGTTATAAATATGCTGAATTACATATACTTTGGCGTTGGGTTCATCAAGCGTCCAGTGCTCATCGACCAGTTTCAGAAAGCAAATGTGTGGGCAGCATCCTTACAACAGGAGGACTGCAAGGATCCCTGAGAGAATTACCAGAGCAGCTGAAAAGAAAAGAAGAATTATAAACTATCATACACTTTTTGCTCAGCTAACTGACTCTTGGAAAGCACGATTCAAAAATGATACTACATCTATAGGCTACAGAGGTCAGAAACTTTCCTGTATTGTACACCTGTTCCGTCTGTTGTGCAAATACATATCATGCACCAATACATTTAAAATAAGAGCATTTAGCAACTAAAGAGTAGTCATTTGTGTCACTCTTTTTTTTAACACACTAGAGACATTGCCCTGATGTAACCGTATCGAGTTCTTACCCTGTGATGCAGCATGATGCAGTGCATTGCTCCCTGCTGTAGTAGCAGGTTTTGATTTAGTAGTCGTTGTCGCAGTAGTAGAAACGGTAATAGTGGTAGTATTAGAGTCTGTGTTTGTAGTGGGTGTTATTATGGCAACGTCTGAGCTGTTAGTGTTGGTCAGATCAACCGATGAATTTGTAGACATTCGTGTGACTGGAGACCCCAGAGTGCCTGTGGAAATGAAAACATTTTAATTTTGCTACTAACTGAAATCCCTTTTAGGTCTTCGTTCATAGTGTCGCTCTCACCATTTGTAAAGTTGCCAGTGAAGAAATAGAGGAAAGTATTTGTGTTTGCCGCACGGGTGCTGCTGCTGAGACCTGCAGCTACAAAAATGCACTGAATCCTAGTGCCGCTCACAGAGCCACGGAAGGATCTAGGGTTAAACTGCAAGAAAAAACACGTACAAATTTATTGCTGCAAAGTAGGGGTCAAAGTGAGTGAAGTTTCCGTCCACTTCAAAGCATTCTATAAATCCTTCAGCTCTACTCTGGGTTTCTCTTCTTTTTTTTCCACTCACTGCTGTCGAACAAACATTTGCATTGTTTCTGTTACTGTTTTTCATTGTTACTGTTCTACTGTATAGTTGTCTCAAAACACTGTATTTTAAAGCCATCCCTGTTGCTGTTCATTACCACATAATTTGTAGTCAAGAATATTTTGTGCAAAGCTTGGCAATGAAGAAAATGCTCTGTAAAAGGGAGTCTTACAGTCTTGTCCGGAGTCAGAATGGCGTTGTTCAGTGTGGCACGAATGAACTTCGCCACGCCATTGTCATTGGCACAAGAGTAGACGGTGTCATCATCACCCTATGAGAAGGAAAGGTAAATAAGTCTGAGAATCCAAATCTGAGATTTTTTTTTTTTTTTTTCCAAAATCACATTCTTAACAAAGGGAATTTACTTTTTTTGTAAACGTGGACATATATGAGAAATAAATTTGATCTTTTTCAGACCTCCTTCTTGTCTCGAGACAGGCCAACTGCGATGTAACCGTTTGCATCTCCACTGAGCTCAAAAGTGAGATTGTCTGAGTCTCCGTTCACCCCTCTTGTGGAGGTGAAAAAGCAGCTACTTGCGCTCGATGGATCACAGTTGGCTGGAGTGAAGAAACATGCCCTGTCCTTCTTACAGTTGTCCTTGGTGACTTTCTCCTGCAATGTTACGTGCACATTAGCCATGAAATGTAATGCTGGAATTCATATTTAAGAAATTTATAAAATCTTAAGTAAACTCATCAGTTTATAGCAATTTGCCATCCAACAAAACACAATAGCTTTTAACATCACTGGCTTTACTTCACCTGCACCACAAAAAAGCACCACAATCATATCCATGAACAAAAAACTGGCTTGCCAGTCTGTTTCCACTTACATTTGTTGTACCGTTATTAGCTGTAGATACTCCAGAGGCAGTAGATGCAGTGGTATTTGAGGATGCTGTGGAATTAGATGTGGTGGTGTTCGGGGCCGTTGTGGTGTTTAATGCTACAGAGGAATTAGATGCGGTGGTGTTCGGTGCTGTTGTGGTGGAATTTGTACTGGGTATTATTACTGAAACGTCTGTGCTGTTAGGGTTGCTTAAGTCCACTGACCCATTTGTGGTCAGTCTACTGACTGGAGAATCCAGAGAACCTGGAAAAGGAGTAAATTGAGGAGTAAGATTTACTTCTGTTGCAAAACAAAATATATGTCACTTGATCAGTGTTGCACTCACCATTTAAGACACTGCCTGTTAAAAAGAAGACATAAGTATCTGGGGTTGCCGCACGAGTGATGCTGCCGAGACCTGCAGCATTGAAAATGCACTGAATCTTTCCTCTATTCACCGAACCACGGAAACTTCCAGGGATGAACTGCAGCGAGACAGAAATATTATTACTGAGAAAGTCTATTTTAGTATGTTACAGTATATTTTAATTGGCTTTTATGCATTATTGCATCTTTACACATATTTTAGAAGCAACCTTTGAGACCTGTGTGGATAGTACCATTTTCTGTTTTCATATACTACTACATTGTTTACTGTGAAGAATATCCTTTGCTAAAATTGGCATAGTATTATTTATACAGAAGGATCTCTGAAAATGGGTCTTACTGTGTTATCCTGAGCCAGTCTTTGATTGTTCAGTGTGGAACGGAAGAACTTCAGTGCACCATTGACGTTGGCGCAAGAATAGACAGTGGCTCCTTGACCCTGAGGATGTGAAAAGTTAAAATTAGTCAGGGAAACATACTTCAGGTTTAAAATGACAGTGCTTAAATATTAGATTGTATTAAAAGAAACATGATTGAAAAAACAACTGGATTTGATCTCTTACACTGCTGTCTCGAGAGAGGCCCGCTCCGATGTAACCATCTGACTCGCCACTGAGTTCAAAGGTAAAATTATCTGCACTTCCGCTTACTCCTCTTGCAGAAAGGAAATAGCAGGAATCTTGTGCACCTGGATTACAGGTAGGTGGAGCAGAGAAACATGCTCTATCCCTCCTGCAGTTATCCCTGCCAGGAATATCCTGCAGTGAACAAGAAGTAAAATTAAATACAAACAAATACATAAATGCTGGGTATAGTAGATAACTTGTAAAAGTAACTTTTATCCTTTAAAAGCAACTTTCACTTCAACAGTCAGAATTCTTATTATTTGCATTTTTAAGCAAGAAGACGGGCTTACTAGTGATATATTATTGATGTTGCTGTTGGTCAAGGTATTAGAGCCTGATGGTGTTGGGGTCAGGTTAGCAGTTATGTTGGGAGGGCGTGCTTGAGTCTGGTTGGTGGTTATGTTGGGAGGGCGTGTTTGAGTCTGGTTGGTGGTTATGTTGGGAGGG